GGTATGGAATAGCCCTTTGGTCAGTTTGGATCAACTCTTCTGGCTGTGCCCCCTCCCGGTTTCTTGTGTACCTGGCAGAGCATGGGAAGCTGAAAAGTCCTTGACTAGCATAAGCAGTAGTTAGCAACAACTAAAACATCAGTATGTTATCAACATTATTCTCATGCTAAATCCAAAACACAGCACTATGCCAGCTGCTAGGAAGAAAATTAACTCTATCCCAACCGAAACCAGGACATACCCAGGATAAATTTTTTACTTTTCCATTTCCTACTGATTATTTCTTGCAATTGCAAAAACTCTTTTTAATAACCTGAACTGTACAGGTCATAACATGGTTGCTTGTGTTTAGGACATTTTGCTGGTACTGCCACCAATTACTGCTTATTTCTGTCTTTCTGATTTTGCACAGCCACTCAAAGTTATTAACCGCAAGAGGCCTGCCAGGGACGACTGGAACAATTACAGCTCTCACATGAGAAGACCCATCAACATCACAGAAGCAGATGATTTTTGTGTAAAGGTGATATGAAGGTCACTCTAATAACACTATTACTACAGGTCACCAATAGTCACTTTTGTATTCCGATGGCAGTTTCAAATTCAAGAACCAGCATTTGATGTGAACTGTCAGACACTTGTGCTCATGTCAGAGATTAACCTCCACCTTTCTTTTCTATGTCTTCCATTTTAAGAGTTGACTACTGACCTCTATGCTGTGATTAGCCTGTGTATATCCCTCTAGATTTCACTCAGCAATTTTCTGTTTGAAGTGTTTAAGTCATTACCCCTGTTCTCATGATAAAAACTTCCCAACTTAGAAAGTAGAACAGCCCAGGTTGGAAGGAACCTCAAAAGGTCATCTGGTACAACCTTTTATGTATGCCAGACTCTTCTTTCCATTTCCAGTGCCTGTATAGAAAAATGATATGAAGAAAATTTAAAAGAATTTGTTTTAGACTCTCCTAAAATAATCTTGTCATGTGTCTTCCCTTCCTCTTTTGGAATTCCTGGTAGCCTTTCAAGGTGAAGTTAAAAACTAACCCCCAAAGACCTAACTTCTTTGAAGAAAACATTAAAACTACCCATGCCACTTTGAAGACTGATGCTCTTGATTTGCTATAGAAATGGCCAGAAGTAATAAAAATCCTGATGGTTGTTATAGTGATGATGCTGTTTATTTAGGAAGTCTGCTATTGCATTTGCATTTGTAGCACAAGAGAATGAATAATTCAGTTTTATGGGACTAAGTAGGACAAACTGGTAGTGCTTTCAGGTTTTTTTTAGAGGCTGTCATCTGACATGCTGCTTTGGTTCAGGATCCTTCTTGAATAGACTTCCAGGGAAATAAGAGGAATATTGGAGAGAGGGTTTGGGGTGGGATGTTGGATCAAAAGACAGCCTGGAGTGACAACAAAGGAGTTTGTCACAAAGGAGAGGCCAGAGCAGTAGCCTCTGTAAGGGCAGTATTTATGAGGTCTTGAATAGAAAGCCAGGACCGGGGGTAATCTTTGGCTCCATCTGCTGACATTGTTGTCACCGATGGCACCTGGCTCAGGGAACTTCGCATGGTCAGTCTGCAGCTCATCGCCCATGAATGAAGGGGCATTTTTCAAGAGAGGATCCTCTGGCTGCCTTCAGTAATCTAGAGGGAGGAACACTGCACTTTCTTTTGCTCATTTTTTCAGGTTGTTTCCCAAGATAAGAGTATCAATTCTTTCTCCAGGGTAGGATAAATGTGTCCCATTTCACTCGGATCAAAAAATATTGTACCTTGCATTGCTGAAAGGCTTTGAAGGCTTCAGTGGCTCTGAAAAAGTGATGGAAGAGGGTCCTGTATAAATACAGGCCTTTTAAAATTGTCTCCTGTTTCCTATTTTTCACAGTATCCATGGAAATCTCCTCCATTTAAAGTCCTGAAAAGGCTTTGTTTCTTGTTTTTAGTATTTTTCAGTGAAAAGATTTTTGTATCTAGCAAAGCCTAGGTTATCTGAGAATCGTATCAGAAATACAAAGGAAAATACTGTAATAGGCAGCAACATCTGATTTCTGTGGAAAGTTCTGCAAATCTGTTTGGAATTTAGACCGTGTAATTGCTGTATATGCTGCAGTGTGTCTAGAGTGACTTTTAGTGCTCTGCAGAGAGCAAACCATGACCCTGTATATAATTTATTTGTGATGTAATCATTTCACTTATTTCATGCACCCACCTTACAAATAACATAACAAAAGAAACCCTAAACAGCAACTTATTTTTCATCAGGAATTTTCCATAATTTTCTAATTCTTGTGCTTGTTTGAGTTCAGAGATTCTTGTCCATCAGAATACAGGCCTTTACAAAATTTGTCACTTGAAAATCTGTTTGCTGCATTGAGCAAAGGCTAACTCTGCTCCTGTGCGCAGTGTAATGAAAACAGAAGTGTCTCTGATGTTGAAAAAAGAAGTCAGCTCTAAAGCTGGTTTTCTGTTTCTTATTTCTCTCCATCTTGGCATAGATCACAAATGGATTTTTCACTTGGACACCTGAAGGTCCTCCAGCATTGTCCAACATTGATATCCGAATCCCCCAAGGTACAAAATGACATCAGATATACAGAATAAGATGTTTTTCCATGAGCATTTTGTAAATCAGAAGCTTATACGTGCCTTCCTTTCTCACAGGTCAGCTAACAATGATTGTAGGACAGGTTGGGTGCGGTAAGTCATCTCTCTTGCTAGCCATACTTGGTGAGATGCAGAAGATATCTGGGAACATATTCTGGAGCAGGTAGTACTATTTAAAAATTCAAGCTTGAGTTGAGTAATAATGCAGAAAAAAGCCCAAATCTATCCCAGGAACCTGTTTGTGGAGTCAGGGATTTTGTAGGTGTACAGTCAAGGGAAAAACTTCGCCCTAAGTGGTAGGGGAGCACATCAGAAAGAACCCCCAGATGGGGTCAAACGCCCTATCTATTCCATTAATAGGAATAGATAACCATCCTTGGGCATTCTGCACTCCAGCAACACAACCTGACTGAAATCGTAACTAATTTGGAATCAGAATTAATTAGCTTGAAGTGTTGTGCTGCTACAGAATGGCATTTGCGTTTTCAGGCCTGAGCTCGTGTCTTTGAATGGAACTATAAAGAGGTACTGGCTCACCAGGAGTGGTCCCTGGCTGTGCTTTTAGATGTGTGCTCCATCCCAGCACTGGTCTAGTGCCTGAGAAATTGAAGAGTTTTTTATAAGTGGCAGCGACCTCAGGGTACTCCCCCAGTGCATCCTGCCTGATTTGACAAGAGGGAGGTAGTTATGTCCTTCCCTACTTCCCCAAGGGGACCCAGCAGCTGTGCTCTGACAGCCAGTTATAGATTATACTTGTGTCTGACTTTTGTACTGGCCATGAAGGGAGGAAAAAAACCCGCTACTGAATTCCAACAGCTGTATTGTTAGGGCTTGGTGTCTTGGCCCTCAAACTAAATGGCAAGGTGGTATAATATATTGCAACTCCTGTATGTGGTTTCCAGTAAATTACTGCCATCTCTAGTACACTGTCTGATCAACGTGTGTGAACATTTTTAGCTTGTTTATTTTACAGTACTGGTCTTCCTAGCCATATAGGCAATCTTTGCCTTTTGGGATACAATTATTTGTAGGTAAAGCTTGACAAATTGTAGCAGAACCTAGAGAAAAAAATTAATTTTATTTCCAGCTAATTGGGAATGAAGGAACAACAGTGCAACTGTAAGTCAAATCCACACACTCTGATTGACATTGTTACCCAGTGGATTCTGCACTGATTTGGTGAAACAATTCTCACAAATTTCTTGAGTGTTTGTAGAGAGGTATTATTTATATCCAGCCTTCACGCGTAAGCCAGTCACTACTCAGAATTCCACATGCTTTAATAGTAATAGTACAAGGAAGGAAGGTTCCCTATTTTATAGGTGGGGAAAATGAAACATGGGAAGGTGACCCTTTCAGCTGGTGAGGGACACAAGAACAGAAACCAAAGTTCCAGAACGTGGTGATCTATCCGTTAAAACATACTTCCCTAAGCAGAAAATCAGAATATGGTGAGAAACCATACGGAATCCCTGCAGCCTTATTAGGTGAACTAATTTCATTTCAGCAAGGCTGTAATTTTTTACAGATGACATAACATGATTAAGAAGTGTAATTTGAATGTCTGATGCTAAACTAAAACAGATGACATGATGGTTCTGATCAGACTGTGTTTTTAAATAGCACTTGTTTAGAAGTATGTACTTCACAACAGTGTAAAGGTCAGAGCTGTTTTTCATGTCTTCTATATGTGCCAAAGTATCACAAGGTAAAACTCGGTCGTTATCACATTTGCTTTGCTATCTGTCAGATGTGTTCCTGCCACAAGCCCCTTTATACAATCTTAGCACTGTAAGTGCTGGCTGCACTGGGACAGATATATGTTCTGTCTCATCTTTCAGAGCTGCTACCATGTGCACTGGTCTGTTCAGAATGATGGATGCAGTCAGTGTAGGCTGCACACCTGTGTTGTAAAGCTATCAGATGAAAGCTTCCTTAATTTGATAAGAAAATACTAATGCCTGACTAGGTACATGCAACATTATCCTGGGTTCAAGGAGAGTAGCCTTATCAAGTAATCACCAGAGCTCGTAGCCTTAGCTCAGGCAATAAAATGTGCCACCAAAATCAGTAAGATCCTTGTTACAGCTCTTTGTTTGGGATGAGATGAATGCTTGGCTTCAGTCAGTCACATTACAGAGTAGTCCTGAATTATTCCAAATTTCCTTCCCCTTCCCTTCCTCCAAGGTCACAGCTATGAAGACGAAGGATGCATCCTGCTGACATGTCACTCGGTGCTCAGGAAATCTGGATTCTATTCCTGGCCCTTCCCTTGGTCTAATGGATAACCATGCACAAGTCATTTCCCTCCTCTGTGCCTCCATGCTCTATTGATAAAACAGGATTAACTGCATATCATCTTTATTTGCTTCCTATAAAAATTATTTGTTTCAGAACCTTAAAAAGAAATCTGATTTATTTCTGGGCTAGGAATCAGCTAATCAGAACTGAGCACTGGCTCATTTGTGATTTTATTTTGTTGTTTGTATTATAGTGTGTGCCTGGAAGATCCAGCTCAGATTACTGCCCCTTGTCCAAAGCTGGCTGAGAGCATCTCAGCATAAATATTTTATAATATGGTTAGAGGTTAACAAAAATAGAGAAATCATTATTTACATTCTGAACAGATGGCAGATAGTACTGATTTGACTAGTTATCAAGTAAATAATTATAGTATATGCCATGCTGATTTCTTCTGGGCAGTATCTCACTTTAAATAGTCCCAGTTCAAGTCCAGGAAGCAGTTTATATTGTAAGTCTTTTTGGAGTGAACAATACCAGAAAATTGACCTAAATGAGAAATAGTTTGCTCAAACAAAATTATGTCATTTGTTTCTAAACAGGACATATGTACTCCCATGTGAATCCAGAGTCCTTATAATATAAAGGAAGTGCTAATTTGTTAAGGTTGTTAACAGTAGATATTCTTCTACTTAATGTGGAGTTGACTGTTTTCATCAAATGACAATATTTTTAAAGTTATTTTGATGCCTAAAAAGTACATTGATTTTTATAAATATGTGTTTACTGGAGATTTCAGAAACATCCAGGTACTTAATTTTATTTTGTTTAAATTGGAAATAGACATCTGAAAGCTTGAAAAACTCAGTAGGCACATATTTGCATCTTTAGACATCCATATACCTTGAAAAATTAGATCTGGACCTCATTATTGCACATACATTACTTAGACATTTCAGCACCAGTAGGAGATAAATGCAGCCTTAATTGCCAGGAGTATGCAGGAAAAGGGGGAAAGGAGGGGTAAAACAAAGTCGAAGTGGGAAAAAGTGGGTTGAAAAGGCTGAGCTAAAACTCCAAATGGAGAATTAATTTTTTCCAGCTACAGAACACAAACATAGATTGGGGAATTGATCTACCAATACTTGCATACAAAAATTGTGGCACCTGTGGTTGTATAGCAAAAGAATATGGTAAACAGAGGAAGTCGGAACATTGCTGTGTGCTGCTGCACCTCGTGTTGCTCTCTGAGAATCTCTGAGAATCATTCGTGCCCTGTGAGCATGGCACTCTGCCCTGGTTTCGGAGCAGAAATTGGAGCAAAGTTGCACACCTGCCATAAGCGCTGGTAAATTATGCTAGCCACGAGGGACCCTGGCCGATCTTTGCTTCTGGAGCTACATTGATGGATTATGAGAGCTGCACAGTTTTCTGCTTGTCTCACAGGCTGGTGTGGGAAAAGAACACAGTGGAGAGGGAGCTGCTGTCATGCACAGACACTACATGTTGCAAGTTATCAGGGTGTTCCCCGGTAGAACGGATGCCAGGCCTTCTTTGGGGTGGTCCGTGAAGCGGGAACCGACGTTTGTTCTTCAGGGTCCTTGTGTTGTGCATGGAAGGGCTGGAAAAGATATTCCCTATTTCAGCCCCTTGATAGTTTCTGGAAAGAATGTGTTGCTACTTAATGATACGCGACAGGTTCATGGGGTTTTAGAGGAGGTGCCACTGAGTTCACAGTCATTAATGACCAGTGAGGTAACTGTGGAAAAGCTTTGTTCAGTACACTGAATCTGGAATAAAGATACTAGTGGCTGGCCGGCTTTCTCAAATTCTACAGTAAATTGAATTTAGATATGGTCATTGCTTACTATGCATAAACTTTTTGGAAGTGTCTCAAACCAACCTTTTAAACTGCAGGTATAGTTTTCTTTCCTGGATATTTATAAGCAAATGGTGTTAGCATAAAGTTAATGAGACTATTCTCTTTAAAGCATGAAAAACTTTGTTCCTCCTTGATTTTGTTTATACCACTTGACACACAGGTTTTTTTTCATTCTTTTCAATGGAACTGAATTTAGCATCAGTAATAAGTATGGCCAGTCATCCTGTCAAAACAATTCTGTCTGTGAACATCTTGATACACGTTGAAAAACAGCAGAAACAAAACCTGTCCATCCCTCAGACCTGCCCACACTTACTTATACAGGCACATCCCCCCAAGGATAGGGCTGATACAGAATGCAGCATGTTGCAAGTCAACTGAAGGTGGGATTTGGGGTCCAAACTAACCCATTGTGTGCTGCAAAGGTGCAGTTACTGCCATGGAAAAATACAGTATCACAAACTATCAGTTTGTTTTCCCTGAAAATGTCCTTTTTTTTTTTTAATGGAACTGCGTTCTTGTCACACTAGGACTTCTCAGTTCTGTTAGCCCCTCCAGGACAGAGTGGAGGTGATTTTACTTGTTGAGTCAAATTAAATGTTTATAAGGAAAAAAAGCTGTCACAAAATTTTTTTGACTGCTAAGATCAAGTCAGTTTGTGTAGAATGAACAGATGCTGTGCTGCAGCTCTGTGGTAAATACTGTTTGCAGTCTGTGCACTAAGTGGAATTTAATAGTTTTTCTTTCTGGGGCAGATTGCCTGTGCTTACTTAAGTAAACAATCTTTGCTTTCTATTTGTGATGCAGCTGTACTTCTGACAGTGAGACGGGGGAAGATGCCAGGTATGGTATTGTATGCGATTACTGGTCTTCCTGCTAAATCAATTGCAATAGAAGGAACCAAAGGTTTCTAAAATCTATGCTTAAAATTTTCAGAGTCAGAATTCTGAAAATCAGTGAACCTTTCACTGCATTAATTTGCTTAGGATACAATTTTTGAAACCACCTATGTGACTTACAAAAATAAGAGCTGGATTTCCTTTATGAAAGCATTGCTGTTTGGCAATTTTGAAAATCATATCCTAACTTTCCTTGTATGTCTTTGAAAATCCTTCTCTTAAAGTCTGAACCAGATTATTCCCTAATGCTACGCTTTAAAAATTAGTATCAAGTATTGCATTAAAGGTTTCATTTATTAAAGCAAATTGTCCCCGTTACCCTTCTTTTAATTTTTTACATGCTGTCATAAGTTTATTTTCTCACCTCACATTCCTCAGGCACACACAAACTGAGAAGTGTGGGGAGTAGCAGATTAGTCCATCTGTTGGCAAGGGATCCTTGCATGGAGATTATTTTTACCTGATTAACATAGCTCAGCTTGGATTTTGGGAATGTCTACCAAATTAACTGAGAGTAAAGCTTTCTGACATGGTCGTCATTTTAGTGTGGAGCACAAACCTCCAGAATGGTAAACCTTGTAAATGTGACAATCCTATCCCTGCTGAAGTCAGTGAGAACTTTGTTACTGAAATCGGCAGAGGAAAAATGTCATATGATTTCCCTTTTCTTGACTTATGCTAAACGGTGTGTCTTCTACTGACCAGAATATTTTCTTGGTTCTGTTACACACCAACTATTCTACTGCCTTTTCTTTAGATTTATTGGCCTCTTCTCTCCCATTTACGTTATTTCTCAGACTTGTTCCCTGGTTGTCAGACTCAGTCCTGCAAAACTTACGCTCCCACCTGCGTGTACTATAAGAGCGAGTTTCATGTATCTAATGACTAAGCCTCATGGTAGAGGATACTTGGAAATCTCACAGTTCTTTCTGTAGAGAGAGACTGCAATTTGTGGGCCAAGTTAAAATGAACCCATTTGAACCCATTAAGATACAAGAGAAATATGATCAGAATTAGGCATTCACATGTTTGAAACAGTTATGGGGATGGACAGCACACAGTGAGATAATACGCACAACAGTATGGCAAGCATATTAAAAAGTAGGAAAGAATATTAGACTGTATGAAACAATTACCTACATTATCATAGGTTCTGGGAATCCCAGTTATGTTGGGTAAGTGCTGTAGGAATACGTCTGGTGGGTTTGTTGCGCTAGCATCCCGTAGAACGTTTTTGGTGTTCTCAGAACAGAGAGTGTTTTCAGCCAAAGTCTTGTGAGATCTTGAGCATAGGTGTCGAACACTTTCTACAAGGTTGTTTAGCACTTCTCAAAAATGAAACTTTAACCATACCTTTTAGGTCAATATCACGTAGTACAGAATTTTGGCATACTTAAGAGAGTTTTATTTCTGTTACGCAGTCGTTTTGTTGCATTTTTAATCATAGCATAGTGATAGTACTTTAACGTATTATTTGCATTGTCTAAAATAAAAAAAAAAACCCAAACAAAAACACCCTTATGTTTGTTTTCTGCAGCCCAGAGAAAGAACCTCCTGTTGACACGGAATTCAGGTACAACACTTTAAAAACTAATGGGAACCTCCAGACGTCCCTTCCAACCTCAGCCGTTCTGTGACTATCTGAACATTCTCCAGAGTTGTCTGCACTTAATGGGTTGTTCCTCCTTAGAAGGCAAATAGGTTGTCTCTGTATGCAGCTACTGCAAGATTTAGAAGTGAAAACAAGCAAGTGACCCTTGCAGTTTAATAATGACAAAAAAGTATGCTCCTGAATACTCAGGACTGGCAATATCAGAATGTTCTATTACCTACCATCAGGCTGAAAATAATGGAAGCATATTTTTTGTTCATGCAGTAATAATATAGGATAGGACAGTACACATTTCTCTCATATCTGGAGAACATTTGATTTTGAGTTGTTGACTGATATTAGAAATTCATGAATTGTGCAAAATGATCAAGATAAAAGTGTAGTCAGCAATCCAAAACACACAGGAAGGGCTTTGCAATGTATTATTTCCTTTACCGTTATAATCATAACTCCATTGCATTTTAAGTGCATCTATTTTCTTTTAAAAATCACCAACATTTCAGACTTGGTAGGTTTGTTAAGGCACTGAGATTCATATTATGAATGTCCCTTAACTAGTCTTATTTTCAGTGATCTTGAATGCATATTGAGCCTACTGGACTTAACAAAATGAAATGTGAAGATAGAGTTAGATTAATAACTTTAAACAAACAATCTTGACAATGTTGTTTCTGATTCTAAATTAATCAACAGGCTTGATCCTATATTAGCCAAAGAGCATAGTCTCCAGGGAGCTCAGGGAAGGTTTTCTCTATATATTCTAAGGTTGGATTTTGCTGTCTGCCTCTTTGTGATAATTAAGAGGCTATGATCAGTCTATGTTCTGTTGTCAGGGGGAAAAATTACAATCCACCGATGAAAATACATTTTTGTTTGTGCAGTCTGGGGGTAGGAGGCAATTACTTCCACCTGCAGAATAAATTCCTTGTAAGTCTTTGTCTGCTAAGCCATTTATTTGCATTCAGTCTTTTAAGTGTGAAACCTTAGGTTGGTTCAAGGCTTTCAGAGAAAGTGGTGTACGCTCTGTTTCAGAATATTTTGTTCTCTGGATTTTTTGCCACATGTTTCTCACATTTTCAGGAAAAGTTTTGTTTGACTGCCTTTTTACTGTAAGAAGCACTGTAGACATGCCACAGATTTCTGATACAATCAAGCACTTGCAAGCTTTTTCTTATGTCAAAATATGATCTATATGTCATCCTAGTGTCAATTTGCAATTTAATTTAAGAGGGGCTAACTAAATTCTAAATCCGTAATGAATTTTGGCAAGCTCATTGCTTGTTTCCAAATTCCTTGCAGTAAGTAATTTTCACTGATGGCCTAAAAGCAGAAAGTAAGCCAAACGTGAATGGTGTTCCCAGGCATCGTACTGGTTCTCAGTATGGAAGGCATCGTACTGGCAGTCCCATATCTTCACTGAACAAAAGAACACTTTTTTACAAAAGCTGTAAAAGCATTTTCCTCAAAACTTTGCTACTATTTTTCAAAAAATGAATTAGAAGTAACTTTTCAATTACATTGAGAATTAAGAGCAGCAAAGGCACAGTTTCAAGCAATGAAAAGGAGGGGAAGGGAATACATGTTCATCTTGGAATGCTCAGAGCAATTTTTTTCTCAATCATTGGGATGAGAATTTCATACTAATTGAAAAATGCTTCCCTCTTGAGGCAAAACTGAATGCTCTTTGAATTAGATTTTGGGACTGTGGGCTGGGCTGCCTGGGGGATTTTTTCTGTCTTTTTTTTTCTTTGTTTCTGTTTTATTTTCCAATAAAGAAAATTCATAAAACACAATTAAATTCTAATGAGGCATCAGACATTTGAACTTGGAAGCATGTTAGCAGGGTAGCATAACTGTGTGTTCTTTCAGGTCACCAAAGAAAATTGGATCCTATAATGACTTCTAAGTGAGCTTGGTGAAAGCCTGAAAAAATGAGCAGGTCAAGTGACCTTAACTCCTGATTAAAAAAAAGATAAAGTGCCTGGTGTATTTTGGCAGCTCATGGTTTGAATTGCATTCAGGTCCAACTAGAAAGAGGCTGCTGTAATGGCTGTCTAGCAGACAAAGGCTACGTTTGGGTGAGAGGTCCTATCTTTTTATTGGATTAGCTGATACAGGGGAAAGAAAACAGATATGCTTTTAGGCGTATGATACCTCTTTTGGCCCTTTTCTGGAGGAACAGTGATATGCCAATGAGTTTTCCAACAGTATCAGTTGCTCTGATAGAAAATGTTGCCTTTCTCCCAGCTCTGCCTTGCTGAGGTCCTTAGTGCACAACAGCCACAAAAGCACTACTACTTCATTAGCAGGCAGATACTTTTATTATTAAATAGTAATAAAAATAATCCCTATGAAATAAAATATGCATGGTGAGATCTTGTTGACCATACCTTTCTGATGGTATGTTATGGGGGCGATTCCACAGGAGGAAATTTAGCAAATATTTTTTTGTCTGTATTCTCTTTTCTTGTCTTTATAGACACAGAAAGATTTTACCCATGGCTACACATTCACTTTATGACTCCAGTTCTCTTCTTAAAATGGGGAAAATAAATGGGGGATGGGGGGGGAGAATTGCCTTTGTGCATGTGTGGAGGGGTTTTTTTTGGTTTGGGGTTTTTTTTTTAAACGCCTTAAAAATATCTTTTTAGAACGTCCCTCCTGAAATGTGTTGCCTAACTAGTGATCTGCTATACAATTTTTTTATTAGTCTGTCTAAACGGAGCTGAGGTTTGGTCTTTGGTAATTTTCTTTCTGCCATCTGCACTGCTCAAGAGGCAGCTTTACTGAGCTAGCCTCTCCAAAACCCACCTCGCAGCAGAAAAAGAGGGAACAAAATGAAATTCAGTTAGGTGAACAATTTCAGTATTTTGTTCGAAATTTAACATCTTATGTATTTCCTTCATGGGAGAGCTATTGTTTGTCCTAAAGAACAAAAATGAAAGAGCGTTTTTGAAGACTTATTACCAGTTTCTTCCTTTACAAGAACATGGTTTTCAAACATGCCTACTGCACTGGTAAACTGGGAAATCTGGGTTTGGTTTGTTTTTTTTTCACCCCCCCCCAGGAAAAGAGGATCCGTAGCATATGCATCACAGAAGCCTTGGTTACTCAATGCCACAGTGGAAGAGAATATCACATTTGAAAGCCCTTTTAACAAACAGAGGTAACGGGTTTCAGCACTGTTACATGCTTTACTCCCCTTTTCACTGAATGATGGAGTTGCGTAGGCCTCAGCTCACACATGTGGGTCCCCATCTCCCCCTAGTAACAAACGTACTGCACCTGCCTGAACATGACAAAAGACTGTGAGTTCCGTGCGGTGCCCCTTTGACCATGGTTTTCCTGAAGGATGCAAGAGACAGAGTGCAGTCTCACTTGAACTTAAGTGTAGAAGTGTTTTCATTTCCCAGGACCGCGCTTGTGCAGCATGCAGTATTCTCTTCTTATATCTAATTGACTAGTTTAAGTGTCTTAGGACATTGGCCATTTGGGGAGTGGGAATGCTGCTTTTTACAATTTCGGTGTTTGGTACATTGTGAGGGATTAATGGGCTGCCTTCTTATTCAGTATAAATGACCACCAAACATTCTAAAATACTTAAAAGTTAATTGCTGGTATTCAGTCCCCCTGCCCTTAAAAGAAGTGGTTGGCTGTGTATTCACATCCTACACACATATTTTTCTGTCATCCTTGGACATTGAAACAAGAAACAAAGGCCCTGGGCATGAAAAAAGTTAAATGCTAAACAATAGCAATATGCCATGGAAGAAGTTGTGCTTGTTTTGCCTGGTTTTAACTATTAAGTGTTTTTAATTGGGAAGCTGACCTAAGATACTTTTTCTTCACTGAAATATTTACTTGCCTGTGACTGAAAGAGATCCCATTAGAACAATTAGTGGCTAACAAATATGTTTTCCACTGTGTGATTTTTCCAGCTGGTTAATTTTTGTTCCTCTGCAGGTAGGAAATGTGCTTCTTTAGCAGTATCTGTGTGGATTTTGCATTACCTTTTTTGTTTCCGCAGGTACAAAGCAGTAATTGATGCTTGTTCCCTCCAGCCTGATATTGACATTCTCCCTCATGGAGACCAAACCCAGATTGGAGAGAGGGTCAGTAAACAGCTACAGCCTTCTATTTTTGTTTTATATATAGAGAGAGGTGGGGGTTTTTTTGTGTGTTCTTAAAATCTTACCGGTTATTTGGCAACAAAGGTAATCTTTCAGTTGAGTGTACATTTGTGTCATTAGTCTGAAAGCTCGTTGCTCAGTAAACATGGAAACACTGTCATTTATGTAAGATGCAATAATTTAAATGTGCTGCTATCAGAATGTTTGACTAATTCTGTGGCTGCTATCTCAGATATCCTGATTTCACAGTGCATTTTTTGGTTTCTTTAGGAGTAACATAAAAATAAATAATTCATAGATTTTTAGAGCCCCTTCATTTAAAAAAGAGCAGGTGTTTAATAAACAGCAAACTAAGCTTTATCACATCAGGGAAGATTAGGGAGTGACAAGAAAGCTAAACAGAAGTCACAAATTTGTAAACAATTTACACTGGCATATACTGGCAGTGTCACAAACAAACCAACCAAAAACAAAAACAAAACCTAAAAAACCACAACACCCA